GAAATGGAGGAAACCAATTCGGGAAATGCCAACAATGCTAATATATTTGGCTAATCTTATCATATATGCCCAATATCAAATATCACAACTATGACCACATCCTTGCCCTTATCCTTGAACATAAGCAGTAGTAGTGTCAATCTCTATTATAATAGGATCACTTTTTATGGGAAGTGGAATTGAAGCATATATAATTATAAGTGGGAGATATAATATCTCATAATGTTATGTTAGTTGAAGAGTGTTAAAGGTGGTTGGAGCAAGTGTATATACAAATCCCACAAAATCTTGATGAAGTGTTGGCTACAATATACCAAATTTGATCCACTATAACATATTTGGCTCTTTATAAAATAAGAAACTTCAAAAGTAAACACCAAATTGTATAACTAACTCTAATGGCTAATAAGAAAGATATACAATTATTGGAAAATATTGTTACAATTGTCAACATGTCTAAATGTGTGTTTGAAGATGTAAGAAGAAAGCTTCAATATGCACAAGTGGCTGCACTCAAACCATTATACCATCGCAATATTATCCCTTGGAAATGTGGGAAACTTATGCAAACACTAGGCATCATCCCAATGATGATAGATGGCAATCACTATAAAGTAATTGAACTAATGGTACATATAATTTTTCAGATTCTCATGGACAAAATTCAGTCAAATATGAAGATTGGCAACAAGAGTAAAAAGAGTTGCATTATATGCACCAAACACCACCCTTAACTAAGTTTAATTATTAAATTACAATTGCATAACATTAAGCAATTGCACCAATTCTTTCCTAAACCAAAATAATTTTAGTTATACTTTCCTTCTGGATATATATGAACCTTTTTTGGTGCACTTAATAGAAAGACTTATGTACTTAAACATTATATTTCAGTGCACCTAAAAAGACTTGTATCCTTATAAATTAGATGATCCATAAAACCCCAATACTGAATTCTACACTTCTTTTACATTTCAAGGCCATGGTAAAGTTACAAGCCATTTTTACAGTTATAATCTTAGCAATATGTTCAAATATTGCACTGGCAATAATATTACCTGTAAGCTTAGAAATTCCATCAATTATATTGTTATTAATATATGTTTTGTGATTTTTTCAGACACCAACTATAAATAAAACTTGTGTTTATAATTTTGAAGTTAAAACTGGTAACAATGGCACTGATGGCACAGTGGGAGTAACATTTAAGGATAAATTTGGATCACAAGTTACATTTGGTGATCTTGATACAAGTATTGATAATTTTGAACCTTGGTCATCAGACAATTTCAGATATATAGGAAAATGTTTGAAGGGACCTATATGTAGTGTTAATATTAGCTTGACTACTACAAGTTCAAGGACTTGGAGCTTAAATGTTGTGGAAGGTACTTCAACTCAAGGTTGTTATAATAATTTCTTCTTTGCTGATTTTGGAGTTGAAATTAATAATGGTGGCAGTAAAGAAGTAAATTGTTGCCATATATTTTAATTGTGTCTTATGAAGTTCAATAATAAATAAAAGTAAGAAAATAAAAATTATTACAATTATGAGGTCCAAATTAATGCCATAAACTATTATTAGCATAATGGGAATTTAATAGTCATCAGATTGGTGTCAATTTGTTCAACTAGGGTTTTTAGGTTAATTGAGTATAAACATTTTTATATTCCATGCACTTATATTGATGAAGGGTAACTCTAATTATCTTATAAAAGTGCTTGGATTTGTGTCTTTTATTTTCAAATCTCATTCATTCTTATAGCTTTTTCTTTTTTTCTCTTTTATTTCTCCATTTCTTTTCATTTTTTTTTATGGTAGAGCAACATACTCCTCTTTTGCAACAACTCCTCTTTTGCACTAGATTAGCAGAACTTAAGCTTCTTTAATAAGGGTTTTATAAATAAAAAGTATTTTGTGCTAATTAAATCATTCGAATTTACTAAATCTAGCAAAGCTAACCCTGTGCAACGAATGCCGCGAGAAGGCCAATCCTGGAAGCTACTTCGGGAGAGATTCTCGCCCTTCGGCCCGGATGCTCTGAGAAGCCAGTCAGATCCGAGTAGAGGGTTTCGGAGATATCGTGGATGCTCCACCCGGCATCGCGGAGGCACGAGGAGAGAAAATCTAGATGAGCGGCCAGGCCTTCGATCACGCTCTCCCGATCCGCTGGGTTAGGCCTGGGATCATCGCACCTGTGATCCAGTTGCTCGCAGGAATCCATGATCTCTGCCACGTCCCGTTCATTCCACCCTGCCCTCCGGAGCTTGATCGCCATCTCGCCCACGGATTCTTTGACCAGTTGCCATGGATTGGATTTGGCGTTCTCCCAATCCAGATCCGTCTCACCGCCCACTTGCACTAATCCATCATCGTGACTGGCCGATCGCCCCGCCGCGGCGTTCATGCTCGGCCCCTTCTCCACGAGATCGCTCCAAAACTCGATCCTCCGCATCCCCCCTCCCCTGTTGCTGCTACTGTGGCCCAATCGCTCCCTGGGAAGAAGGAGCGATGATGGATGGTGGTGGCTCGGCCCGGGCTCATGATCATCGGAGGACCCATCCGAGCTCCTTGAGGTGGAGCTCGCGCGGGGGCCCGCGAGGACGCTCCTCGCCGACACGCTCGAGCGCCGCTCCGCCAGCGCCGCCTCCAGCCCCTCCAGATCCTCGCCAATGTTGCTCACGCACCGCGCGATCATCTTCCGCGCGCTCTCCACCCCCAAAACCCTGGGCTCTTGCTGCTGGACGGCCATCGGCTCCGGGCAGTACGCCGCAATGCTCGATCCACAGCCGCCACCGCCGCCACCACCACCGCTTACAAAGCGTTTAAAACACTCCTTACCGAAGAACTCGGACAGCTCGTGAGCGCAGTAGAACGCCTCGGACCGGTCCACGTACATGACCGGGTTGCCGGCCCTGACGGGCTGCGACGGGACGTAGCACTGCGAGAAGACGGGCACCATGACGGGCGCCCGTCGCAGGGCAGCCCGGGAAGCTCGGGCAGCTCCCTCCGGCTCGGGGGGCCGAGCTCCCCAACCCCGCCACCAAAAGAGTCCGAGCTCCGCAGCGGAGCACAGCCCTGTCTTGGGCGCCGCGATCCACAGTTTTAGCTTGTGGGAGCCGAGCTGGGATCGCCAATCGGGGAATCCGGGCCCGATCGGCAAGCCCTGCTGGAGAATTCCTCGCAGATCCGGCGGGAATGTGATCTGGAAGGCGGCCTGCGCCAGTTCGATCTCCTCGTCCGACAGCCCCGGGTCGATCCGGACGCCGTAGCTCCGGAGCCGCGCGATGATGGCCTGGCCGAGCTCCGAGAACGAGAAGGAGATCTTTCGAGGGGAGGATGGATCCACCAGAGAGCCGGAGAAGGGTGGCGGAGCTGAGAGGCTCGTGGAGGAGCACAACGTATTGTTTGCTCGCTCCGAGAGACGCTTGAGCGCCGCCGCCCGGCTACCCATCAACTTGGATGTGTTATCCGCCGAGAGCTCCAGCGGCGCGAGCGCTTGTAGCTTCTTCCTCCTGCTACTGTGCTCCATGAATGCGTCGAGGGTGACGGGCGATGATAGTGTGGAAGCACACGAGGAAAGAGAAGGGATTGACCGGGAGAAGAAGAATGGAAAGAGGAAGAAGAATGAGAGCTGGCTATGGCTGCGCTGCTGCTGATATGCGCCGACAGATTTTTCGAGCGAGGTGGTCGTCGTGCTTGTGCGTTGTCGTCGTCGTCCATCCACAGATTTGCCCGATTCCCAGCACTGAGGGCTGTCGGGTGGTCCTCGAGCACAGCGCAATGAATGAAAGACACGAGAGATCAAAGAAGGATGGAAACTCTTCTTCCTTTGCTATGGGTGGAAGCAAAACAAAACGAGAGGGCGCTCGAGGAAGAGAAACAAGACAAAACGAATAAAGAACAAAGCGAAAGAAGAAGGGGGACCTGGAAAAAAGCAAAAGGCTTGTTGCTACTTGCTCTCCACAACGATCGATGTGTAAGATAAACAGGAAAGGACTTTTTTTCGCTAGAAAACCCACTTCGACAGTGGCAGTGGAGCGATCGGAGCTTCCGACTGGCGATCTGCGAGCGCCCACTACGCTAATGCGACCATGGAAAACGACCCAAATCCTCGAGAACTCACCGCGCTTGCTCAGACGCGAGAGAATCACCAAACTACGAAGAATGCGACTGGCGACGCTACCTGAGCGCTTCTTGCGTGACAATCTTACTTCTAGGTTTTTGTTTGCCGCGAGTGGTCCTGAGTGCTCGCTACTACCCCGGCTCTTCGTAAATGCAACCAAACCATAGCTTTTGTTCCGAATGTACACTTTTCCTTTTCCTTTCCCTTGCGTGAAGAAAAGTCTATCTAAACAACCCTAAAAGATTCGACGTATTTAGGCAAATGGCAAGCTTGCAGATTCTCCTCCGGAAAAAACCGAAAGCTGGGGCAATTCAATTCGCGGTTGGTGTGAAGAATAGAATGGAATCATAACCAACTTGGAGGATGGCCAAATAAATGGAGTTGTGCGCTGCTGCTCTGCCACTTTTTTGTAACAATTGTTAGAGAAAATGTTAGACTCTATTGTATGCGTTGTGTACACTGGTGCTTCGTGCACATAGAATATCGAGTCAAATCTTCGGATCCATAACTTACACACGACGTTAACCCCATTTCAAGTCTTCCTTTTTGTGTTCTCGAAATGTTTTGTCCGGGAAATCGATGTCACAACCATTTGACAACACACTTGTGAATCATGCAAACCACAGCTATACATGTACGCTGTATAACATTGACAATGACGATCGTCCAAAAGCGAAGAAAAACTATCCCGGATGGGGGAAGGATATCAAGTCAATGTTATTTTGTCAATCTCGAGACCTCACGTTTCAAATGCAAATCTATCCGCCTATCTTCCCAGCCCAAAGAAATCTTTAAAAAAAAATTAAAAACCCCATGTTTGCTGCGCTTTTTCCTCTTCCTCTCTCCTCTGTGTGTTGTCCCATTCCCACGTAAAGTTGGCGCTGATCCATCAATTGCGTGGGGTCGATCCACTGGGGTACGGAACCCGGGAGTTCCGACCGTACTTTAATGTGTCACATGGAGTATGGCCGGCGCAAGTTTGAAGAACATGATATGTCTTTCTGGGACGAGAAAGAGGAAAGAAAGAAGAGATCATGCTTCTTGGTGGGTGTTGCAAGACCCTGTAAACAGCTAATGAAGAACTGATCTCCAAGTGGTGGAAGTGCAAACCTTTGCAAGATACAGTATAAATCTCAAGAGAGAACGCAATCCCGTTACTGCATTTATGAAAGGTGGCTGGAGGGCTGCTTACAAACCCATGAAGGTTTGAATGCAACGGGACGGTGCCAATTTGCTCAGATATGATCCATCTAGCAACTTCAATGAGTGGCGTATTCTGTTCGTATATCGTAGACTAGAGTAGCAGTAGCAGGGCAGTAGACCGGGCCGAGCTTTCTTTCGCTTTCTTGCTGAGAGGGACGGACCCAAGAAATATATATACTCATCCAGTAGTTATAATCCCTATCGATCCGAAAAAGCGCAAGATTGACAAGGCTTAGGAGCTGCCACCACCTTTACTGCAAAAAGCCAACATTGTACCAAGTACCTCTCACTCATTCATATGATCAAGTTATTGTGCGCCAACTTGGGTCACTGAAAATATTTTGAAAGATATAAGAAGGTGTGTATAGAGAGCCGGAGCAACGAATATTTGCATCTTTCTCGGTACCTTGCGGAAAGATTTTATCGATTTGATGCGTCTGTCAACTGTACAGAACGGCACCACCCCCACGCACACGTGTTCTTCCGCACATAATACTTGGGGCAAAAATTGTAAGCCATTATCATTTTCTAACATTAACTGAATTTTAAGTTATTAAACCTATAAATTTTCCTTTAGCTTTAATATGTTAAAAATAAATATTTTGTGGTGTGACCTAGCAATGGAAGAAAAAATTATAATTTGTGATAAAAATAAGACAGTTGCATTGGGAGATTGTAAGTGATAAATTATTTATTAGAATAGTTGTACATAAAAAATTATCAATGAAATCCCAAAATATAATTTGTATTGCTTGGATCTACAATCTACTTAAACGGGTGCATTAATCACATGTGCACCTTTGTTAGCACAGGTAGCTATTTGTCATATAATAATCATCACAAAAGATTTTATCTGTCCTTTACACACACATGCATACATACATACATGGGTGTATATGTTTGTATAGATAACTC